TTACGAAGACGGGGTTAGATGAGAAGAGGAAAACAGGAAATGTTTGTAGCCGAAGTATCACATTGTTCACAGGTAGATCTCACACCGATCTGGTAAGCACATCTTGTGTCTGTTCTCAGAAATAAATGCGAGAATTATAACCACGAAGTCTCCTAGTTAGCATCTCATTGTCCCTCCTGGAAAACTGGAGGGTGAGTGCCTCTGTCTGCTGGGGAGAAGCGTCATATAGCAGCAGGGAGAGCTGGGCCCATGGGTCCGTGGCACCAACCGTTGTAACGATACAATAGGAAGATGAGTTTTTTTCAGATTTTCTGTCTTCGTCATCAGCACACCTTTTTTTTTTTTTACTCTGGAAGTTAAACTCACCACACATGCCACAGTCTGCACAAGGTCTTTCCCAGGGCAGGAAGAGCGAGAAGAGGAAGTGAAAGGGGTCCCCGTGAGAAAGGAGAGGCTGGTGGGGAGGCTGGGGACATCGGATGACCCCATGTGACAAATAGATACATATGCAGGGCATTTGGGCAATGGAAACACTGTGAACAAGGAAAAACCACCTCCTTAGAAGTTACTTTTCCCACTCTCTACTCCAGAGACGGCTGGAACATCTGGACATCCTTCAATATGCCACCTTGATCACTCCATCAGGTCTCTCAGTCTGCGTCCTACTGGCATATGGGGCCCGATTATCCTTTGTTAGGCAGACTGTCCTGTGTAGTGTAGGACATTTAACAGCTTCTCTGGCCCCCGCTTACTACATGCCAGTAGCACCCCCCTGTTGTGACAACCAAAAATGTCTCTAGAGATTGCCAAACCTACCCTGTGGGGCAAGGTCATTCCCAGCTGGGAGCCAGCCCACTACACACCTCACTGAACAGGCAGGATGAGCAACTCATGGCCAGCCTTTAGTGGTCTTGCTAAGACACATATGTTTGAGAGACTCTTAGAGTCTTACCAGGCTCTCAGATCCGTAGGAACCAGAGTGTGGGTCACACAGACAGAAACAGAAATGAAAGCCAAGGCAAGGGAAATGAGAAGGGACAGTGGAGGAGGAAGACCGTGAGTTGCACGCAGCCCAAGGTTGAATGCAGTGACAAGGGCCACAGGTCATCCTAGAAATCTTCCTCTTTTAGTTGCCTCGCAGGAAGAGAGGCCCAGTGGAAACCTGCAGGAGCTGATCTCTGAACATATGAACAAAAGGCTCGGCAGGGAGCGTGCCAGACAGCTGTGACAGCTACAAAGGTACACCACTCTCAAAAGTTCTCCCTTCAAGAAAATTTAGTCAAGGGATGCCTGGGTGGCTCAGTTGATTAAGTGTCTTCCTTTGGCTCAGGTCATGATCCCAGGGTCCTGGGATCGAGTCCTGCATCAGGCTCCTGGCTCAGCAGGGAGTCTGCTTCTCCCTTTGTCTTAAAATATATAAAATATTTTAAAATTTAAAAAAAAAGAAAATTTAGTCGAGTAATCTTTGACAAGGAAGCCAAGAATAAATGGGGAAATGATCATCTCTTCAATAAATGGTGTTGGGATACCAGATATCCGCATGCAAAAGAATGAAATTAGACTCTCATATTATTCAAAAATTAACTCAAAGTGAATTAAAGATTTAAATTCGAGACCCAGAATGGTAAAACCACCGGATGAGAGCTCAGGGAAATACTCCCTGATCCTGGTCTGGGCAATAATTTTTTTGCACAAACAACAAAAGCAAACAGACAAGTGGGATAATGTTAAAGTAGAAAGCTTTGGCACAGCCAAAGAAGCAATTAACAAAATGAGAAAGTGACATACAGAATGGGAGAAAATATTTGCTTATGATATATCTGAGAAGAAGTTACTATCCAAAGTTTATGAGGAACTCATACAATTCAACAACACACCAACAAAAAGCAATCTGACTAAAACATGGACAAAGGTCCTGAAACAATATTTTTCCAAAGAAGACATACAAATGGCCAGCAGATACATGAAAAGATGCTCAACATCCCTAATCACCAGGGAAATGCAAACCAAAACCACAATGAGATACCACCTCACATCTGTGAGAATGGCTGTTATCAAAGGGACAAGAGATAACTGGTGTCCACGAGGATGTGGAGAAAAGGGAACCCTACACACTATGGCGGGGACGTAAATTTGTGGAGCCACTGAAGCAAACAGTGTGGGGATTCCTCAAGAAATTAAAAATAGGGCTGCCTGGCTGGCTTCGTCAGCGGGGCACGCGACTCTTAATCTCTAGGATATGAGTTCAAGCTCCATGTTGGGTGTAGAGATGACTTCAGAATAAAATCTTAAAAAAAAAAAAAGAAATTAAAAAGAGAACTACCACATGATCTGTTGGTCCCACTTCTGGGTGTATAGCCAAAGAAAAGCAAATCAGGATCTTGAAGGAATTCTGCACGCCCCGTCCCTGCCATGCTCATTGCGCGTTATTCACAAGAGCCAAGATGTGGAAGCAACCTCAGTGTCTGTCCACAGATGAGTGGATGAAGAAGGCATAGTGTATAGAGACAATGGGATATTCTTCAGCCATTTAAAAAAAAAGAAAAGGAGGGGCGCCTGCTCAGTGGTTAAAGCCTCTGCCTTCGGCTCAGGTCATGATCTCAGGGTTGTGGGATCGAGTCCCGCGTTGGGCTCTCTGCTCAGCAGGGAGCCTGCCTCCTCCTGTCTCTCTCTGCCTGCCTCTCTGCCTACTTGTGATCTGTCTGTCAAATAAATTAAAAAAAAATCTTTAAAATTAAAAAAAAAAGGAAACGCTGTCCTTTGTCACAGGATGGATGGATCTTGAGGGCATTACGCTCAGTGAAATCAGTCAGACGAACACTCTATGATCTCACTTACACGTGGAATCTAAAAAAAGTCTAACTTGAAGAAACAGAGTAGGATGGTGGTTGTTGGGAGCTAGTTGGGGGGGCAGGGAGGTGGGAGGTTTTAGTCCAAGGGTGCAAACTCCCGGCTATGAGTAACTTCCGGGGATCTAACATGCAGCATTGAAAAAAGAAAAGAAAGAAAACTTCACTCTGCTCCAAGGAGGACAATTAGCCGAAAGCCTCCAGCTGCAACCCTTTCAGGATCTACTTCAGCTTCTGGGCCAAAGCCATGCCCTTCCCAGGCAGCCCCCAGCCAAGGGCTGAGCACCGCGGAGCTGCCAGTGTCTGTCCATTGCAGAACGCCATCACTATGCACCAGTCTTTGCCCTAGAACTCCCTATTCAGATGGGCCCGGCTTGTCCAGGGTGCCGCTCTCCCTACCAAGCAGCGTCTGCCCCCTTTCCTTGGGCAAGTGTCAGATCTGCATCACAGTATGAAAGCTCTCAGCCCCTTTCTGCTTCCTCTTCAGTCTTTAACGGCTATTACCTTGTCCCCTGCCCCCAGAGAAACCTCTTGCCCTCCTAACTCCCCGCAGGTGCCCCCTGGGGGAACCAACATAATGTTGTCCCGCCCCTCTAATGTGGTCCTAAAGGAAAGGGGAGATGGATGTTAGGTCCTGGCTGGGAGAAGCTGTCGCACGGCTTAGCCCACACATCCGCCACCTAGTGCAGCTCCCAATGCCACCTCCTCAGCCACGGGTAGCGCCCTGGTCTCCGTGCCCGCCTTCCAACAAAAGGGAAGTTCTGGGAAGAGGCACAAAATGCCTTCTAGACTTTATTGCTTCCATGCTCCTGGTTCTAACGTATTTGTCCTTGCTACACTGAAATGCCTGGACTGGGGGGGTTCCTGAGCTGCCACCCACTCTGAAGGTCCTCATGCACCAAAGACACAAAAACCTCCCCAAAGTCAAGGTGTCTATAAACACCTGCATTTCCTCTCCATGGGGGCGGGATCTTCACACAAGTCAGAAAAATAGCAACCAGGAGGACGTGAATTTATAGAATAATTCACCTTTAGTATTTCATTCAACCGAATGTATTTACACACACATTTTCCAGAATTTGTCACATGCAGGGTTAGGGAGAGTACAACAGTATTAATGGCGACAGTCCAGGCTCTGATGAACAGGTTAAACTTGAAGGCAGCTGATACCTTCAAAAAGCAGTAACAGATAGATGACAGACTGTGTCCTCAGAGCACACACAGAACAGTTCACGGTGGTGACATCTGACCGCTTACCTGGGGGGAGACCCCACAGTTCTCCCCTAGCTTACTGCCCGCACCAGGCAGCCCTCAACATCGTCTGCTCAGCCTCAGCGGGATACCCCCGTCCCAGACCCAAGAAGCAACTGGAAGCGTGGAGGCCACAGCGGCCTCAGACTCCCTCCCCATGGACTTCCTGACATGAGACTCGTAAGCCCTTAGTGTGTTCAAGACATGATTCCTTAAGCTCTCTGAACTTTACCCTAATTTCTAACCCTTGGGGATTAAAAAAAGAGAAAAGTGCAAAGGAGTTTCTTTTCTAAAAAGTTTAGTTAGTTAGTTAGTTAAATTCAATTAATCAACATAGACTGTATTATTTGTCTTAGGGGTACAGGTCAGTGATTCCTGAGTCTCATACAACACCCAGTGCTCATTACAACACATACTCTCTCCAGTGTCCATCACCCAGGACAAAGGAGTTTTCGATAAACTTTTCTAGAGGCAATCTAGACTCCTACTTAGAATTCCGGAAATTGGGGTGCCTGGGTGGCTTGGTGGGTTAAAGCCTCTGCCTTCAGCTCAGGTCATGATCCCAGGGTCCTGGGATCGAGCCCCACATCAGAGTCTCCGCTCAGCAGGGAGCCTGCTTCCTCCTCTCTCTCTCTCTCTCTCTCTCTCTCTCTCTCTCTCTGCCTGCCTCTCTGCCTACTTGTGATCTCTGTCTGTCAAATAAATAAATAAAATCTTAAAAAAAAAAGAATTCTGGAAATCTGCAAGATTGGCTAATCTTGGCAATTTCACCATGTGTCCGAGTTTTGTCCTGCTCTATTTCACGGCGAGGATTAGCAATAAAGTCTTTTGAAACCTCCCAGACTCATGTTTATTTCCTAAGGGACAAGAAAGAAGAGTAGACCGGGTCCCACTTTCCATTCATGCCTGGAAAGAAGGGAGCACTAAGGAACAGCCCCCTGGTGAGGAAAGGAACCTGCTGGCCCTGAGTCATCTCGGGGGTGGGGAGTGTAGCAGGGGCTCGTGGAGGTCTGCACGAGTCCAGCTTCTCCATTCTGCCATGCCAGGAGTTGTCTGGATCTGCAACCCCCGGTCCTTGGGCAGGTTTCTGTATTTGACCCCAGGCTGGCCTTGGCCTTGGTCACATTTTCTGTCCTGAAGCCACTCTACGTACGCAGGTGAGGTGATTCATGTGACTTAATTCTGACCCTCAAAACCACCCAATCTCTGAAGCCTCTTTCTAGAATTCCCCCACCTAATTTCTTCTTTCTCCTTTAGAGAGGAACCTGACGATTCGTTTACCCACAAAGAGCTGAAGCAACATGGGCTGAGCTGTACGTGTCTGCCAGGGTCCTGGAGCCTTCTCCCACCCCACCAGCCCTAACGCGTCCCGTCCCCAAGTGAGGGTGTCTCTACCTTAGAGAGACCCCCACGCACGTCAGCTGCCTACGATAAAATCTCTTTCAAATTCTTCAGTAAATTTGTGGGCTTGTGCTTTTCCTGGGCATTTTTTTTTAAGATTTTATTTATTTATTTGACAGATGGAGATCACAAGTAGGCAGAGAGGCAGGCAGAGAGGGGGGCGGAAAGCAGGCTCCCCGCTGAGCAGAGAGCCCGATGCGGGGCTCGATCCCAGGACCCTGAGATCATGACCTGAGCTGAAGGCAGAGGCTTTAACCCACTGAGCCACCCAGGTGTCCCCTTCCTGGGCATTTTTAACGATTTTGCTGACTTTCTCCCATTCGTGGGGACCCCCTGACCTCCATGGCTCTTTTATCAGCTTATCAGCCATTTCCAGAAGATCTGTTGCCTGGTTTTCCCTGGTTTGGCCCATTTTTCTGTTATTAGAAGCACAGACTCACCCTCCCCCACACACACATTTTAATGATGTTCTTAAGACTTTTGTTATCTGTGTTCTGGACATACTCTTCGAGGTCCCCTGATCAAGGTCTTCTTTCCAAGTGAACAGCACGTCATGTACTTCCTCTCTGAAAATGTTCTCCAAGTCCTTCACTGCCCTTTTGTCCTCCTTAGTGAACCGTCCCAGCTGGAACAACAGGACCAGAACCTTGTTCCCTTCTTCACAGCGGGACAAACAGCCTCTGACCTCCTCCTCCAGCTGGGACAGACCTCCTTCCGCACTGGTTGTCAGGTAGAGTGAAGGCATGTCCACAACCACCACCTGCAGCCTGCCCCACATCCTCTTGCTGCTCTGGCACGTCTAGGTCACCACCTATGCTTGGAAATGAGAGCGGAAGTCGGGGTTCCCAAGGATGGTGTTCCCAGTGGCACTCTTCCCAGTGCCGCTCCTCCCCACCAGCACAATGTTCAGGGTCTCTGTTGAAAAGAAAGCAGGAAAGATGGATGACCATGGGCTGATCTGGGGGCAGTTTTCAAAGCGCTGCCAGATGTCATGGCAGAAGATGCTCGGAGAGCACCGGGCCACCCTCTGACACAGCAGCTCTCTCCCCAAGCATGGTTCCGGGCACGCGCTCTGGGAATGAGAAGCATGACTTGGACCACCATCTCTGCCCCGCGCTCACCCACGACATGGCACTGTTCCTACCTCTGGATTCACTCCCTCCTTCTGGTGACTTCTCTGACTCCCTGGCACCTTGTGAGGGACCCTGGCTTTACTTCCCATCATCTACTCAGCTGCATCCAGACTCCACATCTCACCCCTTGGTCTTCTGTTCCTGCTGCAACAATGTCTTCCTATTGCCAACTAATGCTAAGTGCTGCAAAATCTCCTTGATGCCCTTGAAAAATTAACAACAGAATTGACTGTTCGTGAAAAAGCAACTACGTATACCGTTGACAGATTCCTCGTTCCTTCATTTGGATCACCAAAAATTCATTTCTCGTTAAAACCACATTAAACTGAATTGTGTCTTTCACTGATGCGTCAAAAGGCACTTCGTGGTTATAATAACGAATGCACACTCACGCTGTTTTGTGTGGTGATGATGAAGAACAGATATCCCTAAAAACTGAGTGACAGATGCTAGAGACCTGGCAGTGGGCGCTCGTGGGGGCTCCTTATGACTCTCCACCTGTACTGTGGTCTTTCTCTTCTGCACTGGCCTTTTCACAGTTCTCTCCATCATACGTTCTTTGCCAATGTACCCAGATCCGCCTTACAACAAAGAGGGAGGAAGGCCTACCCTGTGCTCTTTTAGGGCAAATTATTGCATTGCGTATCCTGAACCCACAGTCTCATAGTTATGCTTACAGGATTCTAGATCCATCTTCCAACAGTCTCACATTTGTCACGGATTTCAGTCCCTGCTTCCACACCTGGTGGTTCTCAAAGACCTCCACGATTGGGTCTATGATGGCTGTCCCACGTCCTGTAGAGGTGTGAACCCTCCATTTCCATCATGGCCGCTCCCTCGGCCGGCCCCTCGAGGGGTAGGCTCAGTCCCACCTCCCTGCTTCCGATTGCTGGAGTTTTCCCTGCAGTGTCTTCCAGCCTTCTGCCAGCCGCCCAAACCCTGCCCACTCTCCAAAGCCCATTACAAACTGAGCTTTCTCCACACAGACTCTCCGGACTTCCCTGCATGTCTCCACTTCTTGAGCAGACTCCCGAGCACCTGGCCCTCCATGAGCGCTGTGCAAGGGCTCCTAAGCAGACACAATCTTCTGAATCTGTGCTCTTCTCGGGGGAGGGCGTTTGAAGTGAAGGCAGCGGGTGAGTCATGTTGACTTGGAAGAATCTCAGCTCAGGGCAATGAGCATGTAGCACCGAGTGCACGGGGACATCTGCTAGAGCCGTGGGTGGTGTGGCTGGGCTGAGAAACCCACCTAATGCCATGTGAGGACTCGGGCTGCCAGTCCTCATCCTCCTCTCTTCAGAATGACCTCCCCTCTCCAACAAGTGAGGAGGAAGGAACCAAGAAGTCAAGAGAAGGAGAAGGAGGGAGAGTGTCAGAGTGGGCTTAAGAGAAAGAGAAGAGTAAACCAACTTCCAGAACCATCTATCTCATCATGAGCACTGAGTCTTGAGCCGCAGGCAACAGATACACTGTGCGGAGAAGAGATTGGAAAAAACTCAACAAGAGACCTTCACCAACCCGTTGGAGAGAGGGGCTAAGGGTCAGGAGAGAATTAAAGACAGTGTGTACAGAAAGGCTCATAACTTCAGTAACCTTGGAGAAAGAAAAGTTAGTCAACAGACTGGACCTGTCCTTTCCCTCTTCTCCCCGCCCTTCTGTATATTTCATATCTAGTTTCTGAAAGCATCTAGAAAAGGATTTTTAGACGCTGTGTACCTTCCCCTCTAAAGCTGCAGGGCCTGCCCCCATTCTGTTGCAATGCCCACGACTGTTTGCAGGAGCTCGTCCGCCTGGCGCTGCTCCTCTTCCCCTGTCACTCGGTAGTTGAAGACGAAGTACCGGTCACTGCACATGTCAGCGAGGTTGTAGAGGGCTTTATTTCTGTGTTTCAGGAACATCCGTAGATTCTGATCCCCGAGGTCTTCTTTCCTGGTGGAGAGAATGATCAGGTGCTTCACGAATTTGCCTTCGAATCTGGCTGGGTGGCGTCCAGGACCGCCTCATCTTTCTCGGTGAAGGAGCCCAGCGGCATCATCACCAGCAGGAAGGTGAGGGGGCACCCAAGGGCAGGTCTCTGGAGCTCCGCTTTAAGGTCCCTTGAAGACGAGATGTCTGGAGCATCAGTGATCACAGCTCTCCTCTCTCTCCAGATTCTGCTCTCAGACACAAACCTCTGGGTGACTGACCCTTTGCTGAATTTGGTCTTAAAGACTTGATTCCCCAGAAGGCTGTTCCCGGCTGTACTTTTCCCGGCTCCACGCTTGCCTACAAGCAGGACCTTCAGCTCCGGTGGCCCAGGGTTCAGCTCACATCCTGGGGCCTGAAGTGGCTTCTCCCCTTGCCCTGGGGGACAAAAGAGCAGATTCAAAATCTCCTCTTGCAGCTGAGTTCAGAGATGGGGGCAGGTGTTCTGCATTCTCTTTTTCTTGTCAGTTTTTACAGAGAAGACCGGTAGTGTTCTGAGCAGCAGGACGCTAGTCCCGGTCAGGGGCTACCTCTCCGAGTCAAAGCCACAAAGGGGTCCATGAATAAATGAAGAGATAATGTAAAAATGGTCAAGATTTCCCAGGAACATGAAAATGTTAAACTTGGCCTCCTGTGATCTTGGTCCTTAGATTTCCTTTCATTTTGCTACCGAAGGTAAGTGCCTGGCTGCGAAGTCCACGGACTAAAGCAGGACAAGGGAGACTGAGTTTAAAATGCCCCATGGGGGGGCGCCTGGGTGGCTCAGTTGCTAAGCGTCTGCCTTTGGCTCAGGTCATGATCCTAAGATCCTGGGATCGAGCCCCACATCGGGCTCCCTGCTCAGTGGGAAGCCTGCTTCTCCCTCTCCTACTGCTTCTGTTCCCTCTCTTGCTGTGTCTCTCTGTTAAAGAAATAAAATCTTTAAAAATAAATAAATAAATAAATAAAATGCCCTATGGAAAAAATAAATGAATAAAATAAAATAAAACGCCCCTTGATAGTATATTTATAAAATGTTTTACTGCTCAGCAATCAAAAACAAAAACGAAAGAATGAATGGATGAACTATTGATATGCAACATGCGTGGATCTTCAAAACATGCTAAATGAAAGCAGCCAGACACAAAACACACACTATGGGGTCTCACTCCATGAAGTTCGAGAACAGACGAAATTAGTCTACGTTGTCAGAAGTCTGGATTCAGTTCCCTTTGGGGAGATGCAGCAGAAACTTGGAAAGTGATGGAAATGCTCCAGATCTTATTTTTTTTAATTTGCTATTTTTTAAAGGTTTTATTTATTTATTAGAGAGAGAGAGAGAGAGAGAGCACAAGTAGGTAGAGCAGCAGGCAGAGGCAGAAGGAGAAGCAGGCTCCCTGGTGAGCAGGGAGCTGGATGTGGGGCTCCATCCCAGGACCCTGGAATGATGACCTGAGCTGAAGGCAGACGCTTAACAGACTGAGCCACCCAGGCGCCCCGGAAATGCTCCAGATCTCTATCTACCTGGGGCTTACAGAGCTATACACTTAAGATTTGTGCATTTTACTCTATGTTAATTGTATGTCAATAAGTTACTGTAGAAACCTGGGCCACAAAACTATCTCCGCACATGTGCCCTGCCCCCACCACTTCTCCTCTATCCAAGGTCAGCACCAGACCTTCAGGCTGAGCAAAGGTCAGGGTCAGCCACTTCCCGGAATATTCAGAGGCTGAGGCACCCCGGGCACTATCAGTGTGGATCATGCCTGGGCCTCTGAGCCGCAGGTCTGGGAGGTGGAATGAACACACTTTTAAAGAAAACCACCAAAACGCGGGTGACAGCTCATCCTTGTTGTCTTGGGAAAGCTCCTGCTTTACCCAAAATCAGCTCACACAAGTCTGCATCCTACCAAGATAAAGTCCCTTCCAATGCCCTCATTCTGAGACACCCTCCGGTTCTCCATGGCGTGCTATTTCCTCAGGGTCACGAGGAATCATTTGGGGACATAACAGGCAAGTTCCTGGAGGTCTTGACTAAGGGGCATCAACAGAATTTTAAATCCCTACTTCTGCCTGAGTTCACATATCTCTGGCTAAGTTTACTCCTCTGTAAATGAGAATAATGATAATACCACCCTCTTCATAGGGCTGTTAGAGGAATCGATGTGTACAGTTATCATGAGAATTATATGCTGGGAAGATTGAATTATTTATATATATTTTCCAGTATATAATGTCAATTGTGATTATCATTAAAATTGAAATTATAATAGTTATTATTATTATTATTATTAGGGGAATTCTATGAGGACAGAGATCTCATCTGTCTAATTCACTGCTGAATACTCAGTTCTTGCACAGAGATGGCCCAGAAATAACCTAAAAGTCCATCAATCAAGGGACAGTTGACTCAGTTGTCAATGCCCCTTACCTCGGACAAAATTGCACCTACTAAACAGAACAAGGAGGCTCTTACAGGGACTGACTCGTGAGGTGTGCAGGATGTATCGTTAATGGCGATCATTACAAGGATCCTGACCTCCCCCAGTGAACTCCACAAATGAGTGGAATCACCATGAAGGTAATTTCTGTTTTCCCAGGGGGAGTCAACATTGTATAGTCCTGGATCCAGGGCCAGAAAGACAAGGCTGAGTCCAGAAAGAAGCCACGAAAGGCAAGCCCACTTCCATAACATTCAGGGAAGGCCCAGGACACCCACACCATGTCCAGAGCCTACTCCCAAGTGTTAGGAGTTCCCTAGGGGACGAGCTGCGGACACCAACCTGAGCTAGGCCTCCAGAGTACATCTCTGATCCTACTTATCTAATTTTTCCACCTCATTTTGACTCATGATGCATTCAAAAGGATACAGAGGTAAGCTTACCATTTTTGAGGATCATTCTTACCAAGTGGCTTGTCCCCCTTCTGGTCGTGGCTTCATTCATATAATCCTAGAAAATAAAGGAGGAAATGATGCACAGGGACCTAAAATTTCATCTTTTTGCAAAGCAAAGAAATGAAGACACAAGTATATAATTCAGAATAATTTAAGGAGGACGATGTGGTCAGATCAAGGCCATGGTCATGTTCCCTGTTGGCTTTTGTAGACCCGTCCACAATGTCAGTCGAACTTCAGACCCCACTGCCGACAGCACAACAGGCTTCCCAGAAGTATGAAGACGGGTCTTGTTCTTGCTCAGAGGAGCCCCACAAATGCCATCTAACCAAGGCATTGAGCCCAAAGCTCTAACTTTCCTTCTCGCCAGTCTCCCAACAATAATGGCAGTTCCTTTCCAAGTCTTCCAGAGTTTCTGCTGTTCTGGAGAAAATCCAGAGGCTTAAGAAGAGTGGACTTCCCGGAAGAAGAAACTAGCCCAGTGATGTCTGGAATGTCCATCTGAGGGACTGGGGGAAAGGAGGAGATCGGGCATGAAACTCCTACACATCTCTGGTGTCTTCTTCCCACACTGCGCCCCCGGGATAGAAATGAGGCTGTTTCTGACGTAAGAACCAGGGACATTTGGAACTTTCCCCATCCAGGTGGGCAAATGGAACCAAACACACAATTGGTATTTCCTTCCCCTGCCTGGTAAAGCTGACAAGCTCCCCAAAATTTAAATTGTCATGGAATCAAAAGAGAGGGTAAAAATTATATACAATCCTGATGAGTCTGCTATTCCTAGAAGCTTCCAATACTTTATTTTAACCCTATTTTTGTTAAATCTCCATGCCAGCCAAGGAAATTTTCCCTCTGCTTTCTTACCTGGCCTTATCCCAAGCTGTGGGTCCCTTCCGCCATCCCTCTCCCCGGATCCTCCCCTCTCAGCTCTGACCCTCAGACGTCTTTCATCTTAGCCGGCACAACTCAAATTCTTTCACGTGTTTTAAATGCCAAAGGTTGTTGCAGTGCAAATGTGTATGATCTAAAAAGTAATAATTTTTAAATTTCTCACCCACTGTAAAAGGAGCAGCTGCTAATTAACATACATCCTTCTGTGTTTTTCTAAGTTTATACGCATACACACAAGCATATATGAACACACAGGGAGACTTGGTAGGCATCTTGCTCTGCAATCTGCTTCAGAATATGTCCTGTACAGCTGTACAAGTCAGTCCCCATAGATCAGCTCCATTTGTTTAGGAGATGCTATTTGCTCCAAGGCATGGACATGGAACGTTCCATCCTAACGTAACAGTTCCTTTACTGGTAGACTGTCAGGTTATTTCTGGTTTTACTATCTGAAGAGATGCCATGATAAGTATCCTTACACATACATCTTTATGTATGTGAAAGTTTTATTTCTGGGTAATAGTCCTAAAAGTGGGAATCTTGCTGAGTCTCCGGGTTGTTAAAGTCCTTAATGTCTCTATAACTCATGTGAACCTTATACACATCCATAATAATGCTAATAACTATAAGGTTTTATAGGCGAGATACATATGACACCAGGCAAGATAGGTGCAAGGCAAGGTTTATTAAAGGTGCTCTTGGGGAAAGTTCTGAGACTCAGGAGAGTCGAGTCGGAGAAGTCGCGCCCAGGAGGGGGTCGAGTGGGTCTTTTATTTGGGTTAAGACAGGGCATAGGTTCACAGCCCTATAAAGGTAAGGTATTTGGGGCATGGGTTCACAACTATATATGGTAAGGTATTTGGTGGTTGGAGGGTAGGGGGAGTCCTGATGTTCCTGTTTCCTGCATAAGTATCAGTTTACTTATGGTGACGTGTCCTCGGCATATGTCCTTCCGGTGGGAGAGTCATGAGTAAAGGAAGAGGGCGGCCTGGAAGATGGCGGCCCTGTAGCCATCTTTATTGTTCCTCCTGCGTTCCCAGAGCTGCCAACCCAACAACAATAATAATAGGGGCAGCTGATAATCACCGAATGCTTACACCTCAAGTATTTGCAAATATTTTTGTAAGCATTTATTTCATTGCATCGTCACAGAAATGTCTGAGATACATATTATTATCTCTGTTTTATGGAAGACAAAAATAAGATCCTGGGTCAACAGAATGGATAGGAGCTCTGTCCCTCAGGGAGTCTGTGGGGAGGCAACCACCACAAGTATATTCACAGCAATCACTTGACTCACCTGCTGGTGGCCACGTGAGGAGCGCCATGATGGAAGGAGGGGCCGGTGGGGAAGACGCACTGAGGAAGTGAGCTCATGCTGAGGGAAATGGATACACAAAAGTAGACCTGGTACGGGGTCTGATGGGAGAGGGGAAGTGTCCAGGTGGACTAAATCACAGGTTGGAAGCTCCAGAATGGACATGGATGCAAGTCAAGGACCACAGGGAAGGCCAGTGAGACCAACACCTGAAGAGCAAGGTAGAGGGTGAAGGACCGACTCAGGTCGGGGATTCTGAACTCAATCTGAAGATCAGTGGACAGTCACCGCGGCATTTTAAACAAGAGGGTGTTGGGTTCGGGTACAGTGCACAGAGCTCATCCCATGCTCTGATCCTCTCTGCAGACATTCCTGTTCCAGTCAGCCTTCAAGAGACAGAAAGATGGTAATAAAGGAAAAAGAAGGAGGGCAGACCTAGGAGATAAGAGAGCAACAAGTTCTCTGGAGCCTCAGGGTCCTCATCTGTGGAACAGGGTACACAGAGCACTTGTGAAGACGTTGTCCGTTCATGTGTCTGGGACTCAGTAGGTGCTCAATAATTGTTGCCTTCCTTCTCACCTCCGTCCTGTTTGGGCTTCACGCTCATCAGTTCTCAGAGTTTACTCTGACCAACGCCGCCCCCTACGCCGGATTTTTGCTTGCTTTACCTCTTTTGGCACTTGTGTTACGAATACTTACTTACCCTGAATCAGGAACTGTTTTGTGTCTTATGCATGAGTCACTCAAACCCAGGAGTAAGCTCCTCAAAAGCAAAAGCCTGAAATTTTGTATCTTCCTTAACTACAAATACATTTTCTACTCAGGTTTAGAAATTAGGGCACCTGGGTGGCTCAGTGGGTTAAGCGGCTGCCTTTGGCTCAGGTCATGATCTCAGGGTCTTGGGATCAAGTCCCGCCTGGGGCTCCCTGCTCAGCAGGGAATCTGCTTCTCCCTCGCCCTCTGTTGCTCCCACTGCTTGTGCTGTCTCTTTCTCTGTGTCAAATAAATAAATAAAATCTTCAAAAAAAAATTAAATAAGGGCACCTGGGTGGCTCAGTGGGTTAAGCCTCTGCCTTCAGCTCAGGTCATGATCTCAGGGTCCTGGGATCGAGCCCCGTGTTGGGCTCTCCACCCAGTGGGGAGCTGCTTCCCTACCCCCCACCTGCCTCTCTGCCTACTTGTGATCTCTCTCTCTCTCTCTCTGTGTCAAATAAATAAATAAATAAATAAAATCTTAAAAAAAAGAAATTAAATAAAATATGACTGTGGCTCTTATGTATGAAATGGATTGAGGGTAAGGCACAAGAATGAAAGAGGGGAAGGTTGTTTGTAAGACAGGACAGGCGAGAACCCAGGCTGGCTTGGATCAGGCGGGGGGAATGCGGATGAAGAGAGGTGGGACTTCTGACCACAGAAGACTTGATGAATTCTCAGATACCAGCTGCCAGCTGGTAGTGGCAGCAAAGCCGACCTCTGGGTTTAGGTTCTAAGAGCCTGGTGAGCAGCACCACCATTTACCCAGTTGAGAGGAAAACGGAAGTCTTACAGATTTCAGAGGGAAAACCAAAAGTCTGGACGTGTGAAGTCCGAGGTCCTCTATGAGAGCCAATTGGAGCTGTCGAGGAGCAATCGGATACGGGAGCAGGATTGAGAGGAGAGACCTGGACGACAGCGATGAATCTGGAAATCGTTAGCGATCATCGGAGCTCAGAGCTGGAAGGCAGAGTTGAGGAAAGCCTAGAACCATGCCCTAAAGGTGCCAACTTTCAGAGGCCATGCAAGGAGAGCTCAGGAATCTCTGGCGAAGCCAAAAAGGGCAGGAGTTAGAAAACAAAGAGTGTAGTTGTATTGAAGCCAAGGGAAGAGACGGTCCGGTTTGTGTGTCCAGTGCTGTGAGGGATAAAGTCAGGTGAGGACTTAAATGTATCCGTTAATTTGCCAAGAAGGGTAATATGCAAAGCCCCTGCCACCTGGTGCCTCATGTTGGCAGATCACGGATAAATATCTCCTTAAACAAAGCCTATGGTCCATCACACGGTGCCACACCTCCCGTATCCCTGCCCATCATCCACCCAAGAGCTCTAGCAACAAAGATCCTTGTAGACCTTAAGAATATCTTACCACGAATTCACGGCTTTCGTTTCTGAAGTTCACAATTTATGGTCCTCCATTTTCATGCAACAAATACTGGACCCGGCACAGAAGTCCCCTCACCTGACTGGCCGCTCCTCCTCGCTTGCCCTGTTGGTCAGAACACAGTTTTGGCCTCAGTAGTTTTCAGCCAGCTCCGAGGTACCCCTCCCCACTGACGTAAGCTTGCAGTGCGTCACCCTCCAAATCATTCTCCTGAGTGAAAACGGTAATGATGTACTTCTTGGCATTGGCTCCAAACAGCTTGTGGATGCCCGTGACTGCCTCCTTGTCCTCCACCTTGTAACGGCCAATGGCAATTACCAGCAGCAGGACGTGGAGGCTCCAAGCAGCTTTCAATGTTGGCGTTGCTTGTCTTTGGCACAAGAGATTGAGGAGAAAATGTCGGGGGTGTCGATGACCACAACCTTCCCCTCTCCTGTGGCCCCCCTCGTTCTCTGGCACGTTTTTGTCACCATCTGGCCACTACATCTGGACACAAACACAATTTTGCCCAGAATCATGTTTCCTGGGGCACTTTTCCCCGCACCACTCCTCCCCAAGAGGAGAAGCCTCAGCTCTGGCTCTGGCTCCGGCTCCTGATACGGCCCCCGTTGGCTCTGCTAGACAAAAACAACACACCAATGTGGAACACATGAGAAGTCAACAGAGGGGCAGCAAGAAAATTCATTCTTTCTAGTTCCGCCCCAAGGACTGGAGCTACTGACGTCAACTCAAACTAGATTCGGATAAGCAATCTTGTTTCCCAGGATCCTCTCTGTGCTCTTGTCTCCGAACTAAATCCGTATGAAGATGTCACACACAACTGGCTAAACTGACAGCCCCTTCTCTCTCTGTACCTCCCCCACTATACACACTGGGGTAAAAGCAGACACTGTGAGACAATAAGGTCCCCTCCCTGAAATGTCCATGTGCTAATCCCTGGAATCTGTGGCTACATTATGTTACATGGGAAAAGGGACCTTGCCAATGTGATTAAGGATGTTGAGATGGAGAGATAATCTTGGATCATCCAGGTGGATCCAGTAGAATTACACTGTAAGAAGTCCTTCTGAGAGGAAGTCAGGAAAGTCAGAGTAAGAAAAAGGAGATGTGAGGACAGAAGCAGAGGTCAGAGAGTGAGAGAGATTTGAAAATGCTACACTGTTGACTTTGAATGTAGAATAAAGAGCCACAAGTCAAGGGGGATGGGGGCAGCTTCTAGAAACTGGAAAAGGCAAGGAAACGATTCTCCCACACAGCCTCTGGAAGGATCCTGCCCAGCACCTTGATTTTAGGACTTCTGACCCCCAGAATTATAAAATAATAACCTGGTGGGTTTTTAGCAACTGATCATGTGGCAATTTGTTACAGCAGCAACAGAAACTAATATGTACTCTTTCCCAGCTTCCTTTCAGCTGGAGTAACCATGTGACCTAGTTCTACCCGAGGACAATGAGGGAACATTTCCTTGGGCTTTCTTCTTATTTGGAATGTAAATGTGATATCTGGGGGCCCCTGAGTGGCTCAGTCGGTTAAGCATCTGCCTTCAGCTCAGGTTACGATCCCAGGATCCTAGGATCCAGCCCTGTATCAGGCTCCCTGCTCAGTGGAGAGCCTGCTTTTCCCTCTCTCTCTCTCTCTGCCCCTCATTCGTGCTCTCTAGCTCTCTTGCTTTATCTCAAATAAATAAATAAAATCTTTAAAAACAATAAATGTGATATCTGAAATCACAGCAGATATCATGAGACAATGAGGTAACCAACAAGAGAACAAAAGGCCAGTGTGTGCCATCACACTGAAGGAATGAAGAGCAGAGAGATAAAAGAATTCCTGATGACATCACTGAGCTGCCAAAATATCCTTGAGATCACCTTTATTTTTAGATTTATTTATTCATTTATTATTTTTTAAAAATTTATATATTTGACAGAGAGAGAGAGTGAGAGAGAGCCAGAGAGCACAAGTGAGGGGAGTGGTAGCGGAAGAGGGAGAAGCAGGCTCCCCGCCAAGCAAGGAGCCTGATGCAGGACTCGATCCCAGGACTCCGAGATCATGACCCAACCCGGAGGCAGACACCTAACCAAATGAGCCACCCAGGCACCCTAAGATCACCTTTTTGTTAAGTAAACAGCTGATATTCTAAAGATCTAGCTGCTGCTACTCAAAGCACGGTTCACAGGCTGGCGGTAGTGCCAGTAATGGAGGCCATGTCAGCAGTGCAGAATCTCAGTCTCCACCCAGACCTCCTGAATAAGAATCTGTAACCGAACAAGCTCCAGATGCTTCTCACGAACACTCAAGTTTGAGAAGCACTGGTGTAAGACACCATTAGTTCAAGATTAGCATTCCCAGCTGAATCAGGACCCACTTGAGGAGCCAAGTTTCCCAGCACCATTTCTTGAACAGTCCCATCTTTTTCCAAATGATTCTGTCAGATACCATGTGCCCGAATTTCCACGAGTCTATTCCTAGGTTGTCTGTTCCATCCACTAAATGCTCACTCAGTCTATTCCTGAACCAGAAAATGTTATTTACTAGAACCAAAATGACTTAATATTATCCTACTTAAGATACAACTTTAAACCTTCATTATGTGATCAAGGAGGTAGGTCCCAACACCTTGCTATTGTTCAAAACTGTCACACTCTTCTCGGCTTTTTAATCTCCTGTAGGACTTTGAAAATCATTTGTCCTTGTCTTTAGGAAATCCCTGTTGAAATCTAGAATGCCATAGCATTGAATGTGTAGCTTAGTTTTAGAAGAACTGACATGTTCATAGGGTTCTCTTTTTGTTGGTCAGTTTTAAACATATTCTAATTTCAACCATTAGTTCTTTTTGATTCATAAATTAGGAGAAGTGATTACCAAATTTAAAAATGTATTGGGAGACTTGCTATATTTTTATTTATTTCTAATATTATTACTCTCTGGCCAGAGAACAACATCTGTATAAAATGTTTGTCACTGGTCAAGATCTACTTTTTTTTTTTTAAGATTTTATTTATTTATTTGACAGAGAGAGACACAGAGAGAAGGAGCACAAGCTGGGGGTGGGGGTGGGAGAGGGAGAAGCAGGCTTCCTGCTAAGCAGGAAGCCAGATGTGGGCCTCAATCCCAGAACCCTGGGATCATGACCTGAGCCGAAGGCAGACACTTAAAGGCTGAGCCCCCAGGTGCCCGAGATCTACTTTTTTTTTAACACAATAAAATTTTTGTAAATGTTTCACGCAGGCTTAAAAAGAATATGTAGCCTGCATTTGGGGATGCCTTTCCCAATCAGAGACCCCACCTCGACTCTACCAGCTAGGCTCCAGGTATCCAGAAGGTCCAGCATGTCCTTCCTGCACCAGTCTTCTCTCTGTCTGGAAAACTCCTCCCCATTCTTCACCACTTAGCTGAAGTGTCACCTCCATGTCAAGCCTGTCGTCATTTTTCCAGATTGAACTGATCACGAGCTCCTCACTGGACTTCTACAGTGCCACTGTCATGGTCCCCTGCTTCCATCCTTCTGGAGCCTACTGCCCATCAGCAGCCAGTGTGCTCCTACCAAAACAAGAGACAGATAATGTCCCTCGTCACTCCAAAATCCCCCAATGCCTTCCCAAGGACTTGAAGTAACAGGCAAAGCCTTTGCAGTGGTCGACAAGACCCTACCCAATCTGGGCTCTAGCTGCCTCTCTAATCTCATCCCCCACCCCCCTCACCTTGCTTTGTCTGGTGCAGTCACATCAGCCTCCCTTCTATTCCCCAAACATGCAACCTTGGGGCTCTATGCTGATTACTCATCTGAACTAGAACATTCTCCTCACAGTGTTGTGCAAGGCAGCTTCCCTTCCTTTAGGTCTTTGCCATATTGTCCCTGTAATGCAGAAGGCATTCTGCAGTCATCCTATAATTAAGGGCAACCCTCCCTGCTGCCCCACCGGCACTTGTGTCCCCCCTCCCCCATTCTATTTTTCTTCCCAGCAACCACAACAAACACCTTTCACACTGTGCATTGACTTGCTTACTGCTTTCTTTTTTTGTCTTCCCACCACTGAAAGGTAAGTCCCGGGGAGAAGGAGGACTTGCCCTTGTTTATTCACCACATCTACTGCTTAGAGAAGGCATTTGCTGCTAAGCACCTGCTTGTGACAGAGTGGATGGCTATGAACTTGAAGAACAAAGACCAGCAGCTGAAAGACCTGAGGAGTGGCATGGGAGAGCCCTGGCTGGGAGAAGCCGGGAAAGGCAGTGCGCAGACTCCTCCTCCCAGAAGCCCACCATGAGAAAAAGGCAATGGACTGAGTGGGGATCCGAGAAGCTGCCACGGATGGAGGCCTGGGCTGTTCTCTAGATCCGCAACTCCAGATCTCCACGGGATGCAGGAGGCAAAGCTGCCTGACCTGGACACACACCTCAGAGCTGTCACACCAAGGAGAAACAGACTTCTTGGCAGCTGAGGTCCAGTCACCGTTGGGACGCTCTTGAGAGTACCCCGTCATGTGTCTGAATGAAGAGACCCTCCCCCGAACTCTCCATCCCCCTTAATCTCCTTGACTTTGCTCACAATGCTGTTCCTATCTGATAGGATCTACTGTGTCTAGCTTCTACATTCTCTTTTCTCTCTATCACTCTTAGTATGAAACTCCTTAAGCGCAGAGACCGCTCCTGTCTTGTTCTGTGTCCTGAGGTCCCAATACTGTGCCTGGTACATAGCATACACTCCATAAGTGTTGTTAAGTGAATGATCGTAGGGGAGAGGACGAAAGGAGGAAAGGAGGAAAGGAGGAAAAACAGTTTTTAGGAATGAAGAGGGAGATAAAAGTGATGTCACTTTTTTTTTTTAAATTTCCATTCTGCTTTGTTAGGTATTTTCTTCTATTTTCAACTTTTAAAAAAAGATTTTATTATTTATTTCAGAGAGAGCATGAGCTGGGGGTGGAGCAGAGGGACAGGGAGAAGCAGACTCCCCTCGGTCCATTAAGCCTCTACCTTTGGCTCAGATCATGATCCCAGTGTCCTGGGATGAAGCCCAGTGTCCTTCTCCCTCTCCCTCTGCCTGCGGCTATCCCTGCGTGTGCTCTCTCTCTCTCTGTCAAATAAAATCTTAAAGAGAGAGAGAGAGAGAGAGAGAGAAATCTTGTATTGTATCCCAAGCCAGTGAAGTGGTATTTTTTTGTACATCAATTTTTTTAAGTAAAAAAAAAAAAAAAGACACTAGTGGGTAAATAGGTGAAGGAAGCAGACACCTCCAGCAGATCTAAAGAAGAAAGGAATTTATTTCCCACCTAAGCTCCACTGTTTTACATGATTGCCCATCCTAGTAACTAAATTAGTCTTTGCTAAACTCCTGGCCAGGCTGCCATATTGAACCAGGACGCCACTTCCCCATGTGGACAGTTGCCAACCTGTAGCATTTTCTCCCCAGGATATAAAAACACATTTAAGGACAAATAGGAGCCAACATACCCCCCACTCAGTTCTCCTTTACCCACGCTGCCCTCCATCATCTCCCAGACCTGTCTGCAGACCCCAGCGGGTTACTGGAGAGGGAAAAAGCCAACTTTCTCTCCAGAACTTCAGTTGCGACTCCCCATCAGCCCTCAGGTCTCAGGATAGAGCCCGAGGGGGGCGTGGCTTCAGCCTTCGCAGCAAAGCTCCCAACCGTGTGGGGACCTGTCCCACATTAAGGGGCAGTTCGCAACCACAGAAAAAGATGGCCAGAGACGCTTCCAGAGCTCAGTCTGGGGAGGACTCCATCCCAGCCCAGCACGTCAGTCATCAGGAGGAGGAGACAGAGTTCAAAAGTGAGAGCCCGAGAGGCTTAAATGTAGGTAAAATCAGTCTTGTTTCTGGCAACCACTGGCACCTTCCGTGCTCAGTTAACGGGACCCAAAAGTGCACGGGAAGGAAAATACTAGAAAAGAACCTGGAAGGTGAACTAGAACCTGGAAGACCGGCGTCCCACCTGCTAGCTTCGCAGGGCGGCTGGGTGGCCTCCCGAGGGCTCCTTCCCTCCCAGACCTGGCCCTGCCATCGGTCCCTAAGTGGGGTGGGGGCGCCCCGCGAGGACGCCTTCCACCTGGAAGGCCACGACCCGCGGGCCAGCCGCCGAGCCTCCCCGCCCCCCCACCCTGAGCGGCTGGTGGCCGGGGAGCCCGAGCCCGCTGCCCGCCCTCCAGGGGACCCCGCTGCCCGCCCTGGCCGCCACGTGCCGCGGCCTCGACCCCGCGCCGGCGCGCACACACCTGGATCCGGTCCCCGCGCGCGCCGCAGGTTCCGTGGCTCCAGGGAAGCCCCCGAGGTCCCCGCGGGCAGCGTGGAGAGAAAGCAGCGGCGAGCACCGGGAGGTCTCCGCGCTGATGTCGGCTGGGGTGGGGGGTGGGGGGTGGCGTTCGCACCGGTGCCAGGTTGGCGCCACCCGGGACCCGCGGGTAGGAGCGGACTCGCGCGCGGAGGCTCGGTCTGGAGGGGCGGCGCCGGGGCTGGAGCCCAGGCCGAGCTTCAGGACGGTCCCCAGAGAGGGTCACCGTGCAGGGGCTCCCCCACCCCGGGACGGACCCGCGGCGCCGGCAGAGGCTGAACCCGGCCAGGGCGAGGACCGCGCCCAGCCGGCGGTTCTTCTCCAGGTGACCTCCGCCACCCCGACACCAGACCCCTTCCTGGACTGCGGAAACTGGGCAGACGCTGCTTTCTCTCTCCCTCTCCCACCTCCAGCAGCTCCTCACACCGTTCCAGGGGGACCCTTCAGCCGGACCTGGGGAGCGCGCCGCGTCCCAGCGAAGAGACTCCTTCCTAGAGCTGGGGAAGCGCTCGTAATGCTAGAGCTCCCTGGCTTCCCACTCGTTTGTAAAAAACAAAACAAAACAAAACAAACTTAAAAAAAAATAGATCTTATTTACTTATTTGACAGACGGAGATCACAAGTAGGCAGGGGGCAGGCAGCGAGAGAGAAGGAACCAGGCTCCCTACTGAGCAGAGAGCCCGATGGGTCCTCGACCCCAGGACCCCGAGATCATGAGGTGAGCCGAAGGCAGAGGCTTAACACACTGAGCCACCCAGGCAGCCCCATAAAAGAAACTTCTGCGAGTGATAATGGTTTCCGAAAGCCCCCTACTGCAGAAGGCAGTCGCCCGCTGAGCCTTACTTTATTATGGTTTTTAAAAAGGCAACACAGGCATAACATTACATAAATTTACCATCTTAGCTATTTTTAGGTGCACAGTTAGGAGCCTCAAGTACATTCCTTGTTGTGCAAAGGGCTCCGCAACTTTCCCATCCTGAGACAGTGAAACTCTGTACCCATTAGCCTCTAGTTCTCCTCCCCCAGCCCCTGGTAACCACCTCCCTACTTTGTTTCTTTTCTTTTCTTTTCTTTTCTTTTCTTTTCTTTTCTTTTCTTTTCTTTTCTTT